AACAGAAATAGAGCCGAGAGAATTAAACAACCCTCAGATTGGAAAATCTACTGACACACGAGCCAACAAAGAATCACCTTTCATTAAGAAACTGCTAAATGGAGCTATTGAAGTCACCTGCAAACGTACAAAAATTATAGATGATGATACATCTGAAAGTCAAAAAATTCAAACCCAACTTGCTATATTAGGAAAATTGAAAGATTTACCCAATATCCTTAAATTTTATGGTCTTTCAAAAATTTCAAACTATCAAGTTACAGTTTTTGAATGGGCAGAACTTGGCATACTTCAAGAATTATATGATGAAAATGATATTGCATAGTGTTCGAAAGTACAAATAGCTCTTGATATTTGTCGCGGCCTTGTGTTTTTGCATACCTGTGAAATCCTGCACCATGACATCAGGTGTGCAAATATTCTAGTAAGTCATAAATTCATTTTAACAGCATTATTGCTATCGTTATAATAGAATCAATATTTGCGAACAATAATCATTACAATAAACAAACTAAAACAGATGACTTTACGACTCGAGCTGAAGATAGCAAATTTTAAATATGCTTATCATGATTCATCACATACCAGTAAATAAATTATTTAAATAAAATCATACATTGGATGGCTCCTGAAAAATTAAAGGAAACTCCTGAAAATCTCATGCAATATACATTCAAATACAAAATATTTAGGTAAATATTCCTTCAATTCATTGAAGATATTAATTATATTTTCTTAATCTATTTTCTTAAATTAGTTTTAAGATGATGCTTTGGAAACTTGTATTTGAAAAAATTTCATATACAAATATGGAAATAAATAAGATTAAGGAGCATGTTTTAAAAGGTAATCGAGAAAAAATTTCTTGGGGAGTTGGCCCACCAGATATCCAAAAAATCCAATGAAAATTTGCAAAAATAATAATTTAGGTAATATATTTTTTTACATTTAACTTTAATTTTATTTATTTTGGTTTGCTAAAGTCTTTTTTTTTACTATAAAGCCTGGCAACAAGATATTAATATCAGAGCTTCTCTTTAAGATATTTTTTAAAACTGAATAAGCTATCCATGGCCTCTGTCAAACTAGGTTCTTCCCCATCACTGCTCCCTAATAGAACAATAGATTTCGATGGATCTAAACCTCAACCACAACCTATAGAACTTTCTGAAATAACCACGAATTTTAATCTTCCAAAAATAATACCTTTTGAAGAAGGCATTAAAGCTTATAAGAAAAAGATTATAATACAGCATGGGAATGTTTTAAAGCCTATTCTGAGTTGGAAAATGCAACAGCAAAATATTGGATAGGATATTACTTGTCTGAAGGATATCTTTTGAGAGTTAAAGATCTTGTTAGAGCAAGTTAATTATTCAAAGCAGCAGCTGATAATGGAATTCCTGATGCTCAACTATGTTATGCATTTTTATTAACCAATACGCCAGATATTAAATTTAACAAAAAGACATTTAGTGAATTTAGTGAATATCTTATAAAAGCAGCTGATACTGGAAATATCACAGCTCAATATAATTTAGGTGATATGTATTTAAATAGAAAATTACTTTGCCCTGTGAATGAAGAATTGGGCATTAAATACCTAAAATTAGCCGTTCTTAATGACCACATTGATGCGATCAAACTTCTTGAGAAAAAAGAAATTAATATCTTTAGTTAAAATATTCAATTTTATTTTTGAACAATTTAATATGATCGAAAAAAAACCAATTTAATTATTTTTAAATTTTCTTATTATTTTTACAAATTTATTATCATTATACTTTCTTTAAATATAAATTTATTTACAAATTCATACAAGTCAAGAATAGGAATAGATATAATGAAGTAGAAAATTTTTATTTAAAATTTACATTTAATAAAGACAAACTTGACCCACTCGACAAAAAAGACCTAATTATTTCTTGCTCAAATTATAATTTATGTAACCTAACTTAGTAATGGCTTTATAACAGTAACTATTGAATTTTGCCTATTTTTTTAAAAAAAATTCTAATTTAAATAAGTAAAAATTTTAAAATTGAAAATCACTATTTCATGAATATATAGAATCAATATGCACAATAATTTTAAAAGACCAGATTTTGTAGTAAAAAATAATAAAAAGCAATATTTATACATTTTATAATTTCTGTTATCAATGAAATACGCCAGTAAAGTTTTATCAACATTAACTATTAGTAATTTAAAAAGTGTTAACACTTATATTTCGTGTCTTTGACTTTAATCATCATCTTCAACTGTTTAAATTTATAAA